GAGGTGCTGTTGGAAGGAGGAAAGTTTGGGTTTGGGCAAAGATACAGACATGTGTTTAGGACGGAAGTAAGAGACAGCGTAAAGCAGAGAAGTGAGAGAATTATCAATCTTAAATTGGAAGGCTTTCCTCTTCTCAGTAGAGTTAAAGCTGTGTCTTCCACAGATCAGGGGGAGAGGAGACTGGAGAGCCTGAGCAGTTAGAGAAGGGTTAGGAACAAATATGTGTCTTGGAGAATGTGGCAGAAGTTACTGAGGTGTATAAAAGGGTTGCTGAGCATGGGTCAGGTCCACACAGAGGAGAGGAGCCTAAGTGTGTCATTGATCTGGTTGGCAGCTTTCTCCAGGCACAGTTGACAGGTGATGCAGATCATCTAAGTTTTGGTTAGAAGAAAATATCATTAAGGGGTTGTTTTTCTCCATTCACTGGGTATGAGCATAGAGTAGGTCAAGGGGACAGGGATGCTAGGGATCCGCCATGATTGAGCAGCTGACCAGATGGTCAGGCTTGACATGCTAAGCCCTTCAGTTTGTGTCTCTGTGTTCTTCACCACTTGTCCTCTACCACAGCAACATCTCCCCAAGGATCCAAGATTTAGCCAGAGACTTCCTTTGTTTAAACTGGGACCTCTCCCATCTCTGCTGCTTTACTTACAAGGTCTGCTCTGCCTGAGTGCCCTTTTTCCTCTCCCCATAGACTTGATTCCTCTACCTGAATTAGCACTTGCTGTGTGTTCTAATTTTTCTGTTTATTGGCCCACCTTCCCCAGTGGACTGTGAGCTTCCCATGAGACTGTATCTTATTCATCCTATGCCTAGCAGTAAATGTTTGCTGAATGAAGAGCTGACTTACTTTCTCCATTCCCTATCACTCCCATTTAACTTGAAGGACTTGGAAATTGCTGAATTTATTGAATATTGTTAAATAGAGACATGCAAATATAAGAGTTTAAGACAGATCCCTGTGCCTGAAGACCCAGGAGTTAGTTGAGGAAAAACCCATACACAAATACATGGTAGGCAGTGGTGAGGGGCTTGAAAGGCATTAGGATAACCTGCTGTGGGAGTATAGAGCAGAGAAATCAATTTTATTTAGGACAGTGCTCTGTGCCCAGAGGATGGGCTCAAAAAGCCATCTGGGGGGAAGGTCTTTGAATTCCATTGTACAATAATTGCAAAATTTTGTGCGTTAAGTACGTTCTTTTTTTTTTTTTTTTTTTCCCTGAGAAGAGGGTCCACAGAGGTAAATTCTCAAAGGAATACAAAGCCACAAAGGTTAACCACTGTTAGGGCTTCTCTCCAGTGGGTCTGTTTGGTGCATGGATTGAGGCAGCACTGTGGAGACTGGGAGTATTCCTTTAGACACATCCATCTCCTACAGGTATTTCCTTCGAGCCACCATCAGCCGCCGCCTCAATGATGTCGTCAAAGAGATGGACATTGTAGTCCACACACTCAGCACATACCCAGAGCTGAACTCTTCCATCAAGATGGAGGTTGGGATCGAGGACTGCCTGCACATTGAGTTTGAGTATAATAAGTCCAAGTAAGTATCAGGGGCCCCACAGTCGTGGAGAACTATTGAGGGAGGTTAAGAAGGGACCTGATGAGAATCCAAGAGGTTGGTGCCCTGGCCTTGGCTGGCTCGTAATGCCGTGCTGGAGCGGAGGCCACTGACCTGGTACTATGAATATTTGTGCCAGGCTGCTGAAAGGTGGACCAGGAAATTAAGCTTCATTTTACTTAAATTAAATGGAAATTAAGAAGGTACATTTAAGTTAAATATCCTACATTGTCTTTTAAGTTCAAGCCAAATTAACTTTAAGGTCATTTGTTTTGGATGTAGATACAGCTCTTTCCTTCTATTGATGAAAATAATCTCGGAATACAATTCCCATTAGCATTTATATCCTGTATACAGTATATCTCTAGAAATCAATGTGAAGAAGCCACGCAATGGCCGTAGTTTGCTGCTTCCTTCTGAATTTAAATGAATTATAGCAAAGAATACCTGATGCCTTTTTCTTTCTTTCTTTTTTTTTAAATTTATTTATTTTTTTATTTTTTATAAACATATAATATATTTTTATCCCCAGGGGTACAGGTCTGTGAATTGCCAGGTTTACACACTTCACAGCATTCACCATAGCACAAACCCTCCCCAATGTCCATAACCCTACCCCCCTTATCCCAACACCTCCCTCCCCCCAGCAACCCTCAGTTTGTTTTGTGAGATTTAGAGTCACCTATGGTTTGTCTCCCTCCCAGTCCCATCTTGTTTCATTTATTCTTCTCCTACCCCCTTAACCCCCCACCTGATGCCTTTTTATAAAGGTCTTTAAATAATTCTAGCTAGCAAGTTGGGAAGCCATGTATGTTTTATACTGTTTGCTGTCTGAACATGAAGATACTTAAGTGTGGAGCACCGGGGTGTCTCAGTTGGTTAAGCAGCTGCCTTCTGCTCGGGTCATGATCCCAGGGTTCTGGGATCAAGCCCTGCATTCTCTCTCTACCCCTGCTTCTCTCCCTGCTGCTCTCTCTCTCTCTCTCCCAAATAAATGAATTTTGAATATCTTTAAAAAAATATCTAAGTGCTTATAAATCACAAAACTTACCGACACTTCAAAAATATACCACAAACATCTTTCTTTTCAGTATAATGCCTTCCTGAAAATGTTTGAAAATCAGATATGCAAAAGTAAAAGTGTATTCTATTCACAGAAAGCAAAAAAAAGAAATTAGGGTTCTTATTGGAGAGACCCCTATTATCCAGGTAGTGCGGGTTAGGAAGGGCTTTTTTAAAAAATTAACAACATATGTGCTTCCTTGAACGGGGGTGAGGGAAAGGCATATATTTCCCTCTGTCACTGGCCTAGAACCCCTCATGACCCAGAAGAGACCCTGCTTGGCAAAGCCTCGCCTGTGGGACAGGGAGGGGCGAGCTGGGAGGGAGGTTGATCTGGGCCAGGCAGGGACATGTAAGGGAACAGCTTTCCCCTTTCTCTTCAGCCTCAGGGCTCTGTGGGCTTTCTGGAAAGGAGCCACCAAATAGTGCCTACCCACCAGCACTCCAGCTACCTAGTAAAAGAGGTGGCTGGCAGGCAGTACTGCCTTGTAGATCTCAAAATAACTGTCAGTCAGCAAGGTTCAAGACCAAGTGTGGTATGTGAAGGGCACTGTAGAGAGTCTATCCCATGACCTCAGGAACTGGATGTTCACACCTGTCCTGCTTCCTCAGAGCAGGCTGCTGTGTAAGAGCACACTGTCTATATCATGTAGTGCTATTCTGCCATTAGGGATTGCCCTTGGGGTAAGGTAGCAGGTACTACCATGTTTGTACCTTGGGTTTCTCCGAGAAGTGGAGACAGGTTAGTGGGTTTCAAACACGTAAGAAGGGATAAAGTAAAAGAAGAGTGGGGTCCAGGGTTCTAGGCCCTCCACAGGAGTTTCTCATGTATTAATGCTTCCGCATAGGATTTCATTTAGAATAAAGGAATGTTCTGTTTACCAAAGTTTGAAAACCCCTAGAATCTATGATCTCTTAGCATTCCTTCTGAAATGCTGTGAGCAGCCTCCATTCTGACTTTGTAAGTGTTCTTACAAAGTCTACCTTGTAAGACTTTATCTACTGAGAGTATCTACAGTTTTCCCAGTTAGACTGTAAGCAGAAAGGCAGCCTGAAATAGTGGGGAGAACACAAGCCTAGGAATTAGGCACTTGAGTTCACACCCTGTGTCTGTCCCCTACTCAAATCCTTGTTCAAGTATCTATCTTTGAACTTCCTTTTCTCCACATGTCATATAAGGAGATCAAATTCTATTTTTTTAAAGATTTATTTATTTATTTGACAGAGAGAGATCACAAGTAGGCAGGCAGAGAGAGGTGGGGAAGCAGGCTCCCCGCTGAGCAGAGAGCCTGATGCGGGGCTCAATCCCGGACCCTGAGATCATGACCTGAGCCGAGGGCAGAGGCTTAGGCCACTGAGCCACCCAGGTGCCCCAAGGAGGTTAAATTCTAAAATCCCTGCCAACACTCCTATTCCATGATTCTGAGCTTCAGGTTTGAAGATTTTCCTTTCTGCCTATATGCCTGTTACAGGGCGGTGCACACGCAGACGACTGGTATTTCAGACTGACTCAAAGAGAAATGCTGGAAAGGGCAGAAAGTGTAATACAGCATGGCCAAACTCATAACAGCCCACAGAGCACGAGCCATGTGAGTAGGGCCCAGAGAGAAGGTGCTGATGGAGCATAATGCATCGTCTTGCTCTACTGTTCCTGCCTGGGCTGTCAGGTCCAGCAGACAAAACTCTTTGCTACAGGCAATTGAGGCCCAGTTCCCAAAAGACGTTTTGTGAGCTCAGATAGCGAGCAAGTCCTGGTTCCTGCATTTGTGGGGCTTGCCTCCCACACGTCAGGACATCTAAAACAACATAAACACAAAAGGTATAAAAGAAATTAAAGTGCTGAGAAGATAGATCAGATGGGTAAGCATAGAATGGGTGATGTAACATGCAAGAACATCCCATGAGTTGCTTATGGAAAAATGGGACAGATTCCAATAAAGCACATACTGGGTAATCATTCTGCAAGGGCAGTTGTGGTAAGAACATGGGTGAGTGTGTACTGTGACTCCATCTTCAGCCAACCTGCTTGGCAGTGTCCCCTCCCCTGAAACCCAGGAGACCTGGAAGTATGCAGTTTGGCTGCCGTATTCACATCTTATTTTCTGTTCCCCAGATACCACTTGAAAGATGTCATTGTAGGGAAGATCTACTTCCTCTTGGTGAGAATCAAAATCAAGCACATGGAGATAGATATCATCAAGCGGGAAACAACAGGCACAGGCCCCAATGTGTACCATGAGAACGACACGATAGCCAAGTATGAGATCATGGATGGGGCTCCCGTAAGAGGTGAGCATCCTGGCACCCAGCCCTCAGCTGCCTCACCCATTCCCCCAGGCCCTGCAGAGTTTTAGAGGGGCTCAAGAGATTATACTGCTAAAGTAAGATTTCCTATTCACCTATAATTTCTCATCTCTAATTGCTCACTGTGGATCCCAATAAAGAGGAAAAGGAGGGCTGGGTATGTGGAACTCCAAGCTCCTTCCCCACCTTCACCCAGAAAAGCCCCACTTTGGCCTCGTCTACATACTGAGCTTGTACTGGAGATTACATCTCAAGAGTTATGCCTCTTAAATAACAACAACAAAAGCTTGAAAAGTACTGGCTTAGCAGATAAAATTGAACATTTTACTACTTTTTCCTATTGGTGTTCTTTGTTGCTCGGGAGCCAGAGATTAATGCAGAATAATCATTTATGTTCCTTAGCTCTAGCTCTGGCAAAATGATTCATTCTCTGAATTGATTCACCAAGGGTAGATACTTTGGGCAGCACTACCAGGTGCCACAGAACACACTGGGAATGGGACAGAAAACAATACTCCCCCATCCACCCCCAGAGCGGACATTAAATCTGGAATGAATGGAGTTGAAAGCTTTGTTACTTGGGGAATCTGTGATTATTTGGGAGTAGCAATCTTTATGTTCTTCTGGCCCTGCAGCTGCTGATCAGGAAGAATGTACTTTTTCCTTTAGAAGTGCTTGGTTATGCCAAGGTTCTATTCAGTTTATTCTCACATGTGTGTTCCGTGGAGAAGGTAGGGACAATGACAGCAGATTCTTAAGTGTCACCATGCCAGGTCCTTAGGGGGATAGGACTGAGCTCTTCTGACTCTGTAGGTGCCATTTTTTCACCAGCTATACAAGTAGAGCCACTTGTCATTTTCTCTGAGAAATAAGACAAAACAGCAGATAATTAATGGTGCATTTTATATTTAGCTTCAGACTACATTATAGGTTTGGCCTTTCTCAGTAGAATTACTGCCCTAATTTCATTTCACTTAAATTAGGAGAGGCAGGGTGTTAGAGCTGGAAGATATCAAAAATACCACATAGTCTGATTCCACAGTTTTCCACAAGAGAAAATTAAGGTCCAGAGAAAGCAATAGACTAACTCAGAAGTCATACAACTAGTTAATGGAGAACTAAGACCAGAATTAGGATTTTCTCTTTTCTTGCGACTATACCACTGCCAATCCATCTCAAAGTAGAGATGTATTTTGGGGGGCATACACTATTTAGGATGGAGGAAGGTGGCATCGAGATTGCTGGGTGACATGATGAGTTAGCTGGGGTTTGACAGTTAGTTGCCTTGTGAAAAACCAACAACTAGACACAATACATATAATCAAAAGATGCTTAGTAGTAGTGTCCTGTGCTGTTCATACTCATGGGTCTCTGTATTGGGGTGGTTAGAGAAGACACAACGGGACCTGGAGTGGAGCTGCAGTCATGTTTTTGCTTCAGCAGATCACTGAGCCACAGAATGAGAATTCCCACCAGGCAGAAGCATTCCCTTGAGTGTTCCATGACATGCTCAGGTGGCATCTCATGGGCGGAGTGTGACTTGGTGTAAGGTAGGATGGGTCACTTTGCCCTTCACTCTGATACCTGCCTGGCCTTTACAGGAGAGTCCATCCCTATCCGGCTCTTCCTGGCGGGCTACGAGCTCACCCCCACCATGCGGGACATCAACAAGAAGTTTTCCGTGCGCTATTACCTCAACCTGGTGCTGATAGATGAGGAGGAACGGCGCTACTTCAAACAGCAGGTGAGGCCCGGGTACCTCCCCAAGACCCCTGGTGGCCCTAGAGCCACATTAGGAATGGCATCATTCCTGTGAAGATCAGGCTCCATTTCAGACAGATTAAGCAGAACAGTACAGGGGAGAGAGTTCACTAGTCTCTGTGCCACTTGTTGGTTCACCCAGAGGGAGTCCCACAGCAAAAATGAGGGTTCCCAGTTGACACGTGAGTCTGCTTCCTATGACTGCTCTATGCTTCCTGCCCACACCATCAGAAGGAGCCCTAAGGTAGTATGGGTAACTGCTGTCATTGGAGAGAGAAGCAGAGGAGGTTTAACTAAGATGCCTGGGAGAGAGTTGGAGCCTTTGGGAACCCCCACCCCCATGCCTCCCTCTCAAGGTAGCATGTTGCCCCTCTCCCCCAATTCTGCAGGAAGTGGTGTTGTGGCGGAAAGGTGACATTGTACGGAAGAGCATGTCCCACCAGGCAGCCATCGCCTCACAGCGCTTCGAGGGCACAACCTCCCTGGGTGAGGTGCGGACCCCCAGCCAGCTGTCTGACAACAACAGCAGGCAGTAGGCCCCCAGGGCCAAGAAGCTGCTGGGCTTCCAACCCAGCACCCCCGTCTACCAAACACCAGCGGCTGGGGTAGGGGGAAGACAGTGTGATGCTCAACTGACCCGTTACTTGCAACCTGAAAACAAATCGTGTTTTGACTTTAATTCTTTTTTCTGAAGAACCTAAGGGGCTTGGGTTGGGAGGCAGTCTCCTTGAGATTCTGCGGCTGACGTGGGAATAGGAATAGGTAGCATCCCGGTAGCTAGTCTCTCTGGGGCAAGAGCCTTCTGTTGAGGCCTTCCATGTGGGGGTGCCTTGCATTTTACAGGAGAGCAGAGAGCGGGCATCCTTGACTCCTGGGTCTCTGAGCTTCCTGATACAGGATCTGAGCATGTCCCTGGGATTCTGAGCTGCCAGTAGGGCCCGGGGTAGTTACATCTTATTCTCCCCTCTACTATCCCTGCCCTATCCTAAAAGGCAGGGGGGAGACTCAAGATCAGGAAGCTACCTCTTTGGGAGTCTTGGATGTGGTGCTTTGACGTTTCCACAAGCCAACTCCTTTTGGCCTTTATGTCACTGCTGTGAACGAGACACCTCCCTTCTCCGTCTTCTATGGACTCGTATCAGTAACGTCCTGGAACAGAAACTTGTGGAAGGGCCTTTGGCTGTTGTCCCCTCACCTTGAGAAATTCTGGGCACAGAAACACCCTGGGGTCAGTGTCATGCATGGATGGCAGCAGTGTTGAACACAGGAGGCCAAGCCAGGCCCACTGAGGAAGAAGCATGGTGACTATGCATGGTAGCTGTCTGCCTTCACCCCATGACTGTGCTCCCCAGCCCCTGGAGCTGGATGGTTCTAGGGTATTGCTGTGTGCTACAGCAAGCCTAAACAAGGGCATCTGTTTCATTTAAGAGATCCCGGGAAGGGGCCTTGATCTCTTTGCTTCCCTACGAATGGATCTTCATCACTCCTTACTCTCCCTCTACTTACTTTGTGGGAATTGGGGCTTGGAAGTTTCTTACTGATGCCCATGTCCCCTCACTCTCTGAGTTTCAGAAGAGAGATGAGAGCCTCAGCAGAAGACCCTGCTACACAACATCAGAATAATTCTGCTTGCCAAATTATGTTTTCACCTTTACCAGTTGACTGACCAGAGTTTAGGACCATTGATGTTTTGTTTAAAAACATATATAAAAACTCTCGTGGGTATTCTTGTTACGCTAAAGGAGAGGGGGACTTCCCTCTGTTGCACTGTGTGTGGGCCTACTGGAGTAAAGATGTTGACATCCTTTTCTGCCTCATCTGGAAATGACCTAATGGCCTCCCTTCCCTTCAAGCAGACCCCACTGGCCAATAAGTACAGTATTTGGTGGTCTAACTTCTCCATAATTTGGGAAGCAGAAGGGTTGGTTCCTGTGTCACCTTTTAGTGTGGAAAATTCGGACTCTTCTTTTTCTCAGAAATCAGTGCAGTCATGGGCCTCTGGCTGGGCAGGCTCATGGGTTAGGACTGAGACTGGAGGAAAGGATACTGGGATGATACTTGAGGTTGACTGGGGACAGCAGAACCAAGGAAGGTAAGGTGGTTCCCCTTCCCCATCCCCCATGCTAGACCCCAGGTACAGGTGCGACGGACAATCCCATGGGATCAGGATTACCCATCCAGCTGCCCCTGGATTATCAAGGTTAGGGGCTCAAGTGTATGGGGGAGGCAGGTTCTGTGCTCCTTGCCTTTTCCACAACATGAGATTAGGCTCTGGTGTGCCTCCCATTATAGCTGGTATTCTAACTAGAAAGGACCTGTCAGTTCCTCTGCCTCCCAGCTGACAACCCAAATTCATTTTCCAACTTTCCTAACATCTTAGACCTTTCTTCTGGGAGAACTAGAAGGTAGAATTTGATTTTATTCTCTCAGGAGCTGTGCATAAGCCAGGTCTTCTGTTTTCCCTCACTCTGCCCCCATTCACTCCTTGTCTGTGCAAGTGTGCAGGTGCAGGTAAGGGGAGGCCCCACCCCCACCTTCACAGGTTCCCATACCTGGGAGTGCATAGGTACTAAACCAAGCAGTGCAACTTGTAATTAAGCAGCTGCAGTGTTTACATGTTTCTTAATGTGTCGTCTTTTCAATGGCTGTATTTTAAAAAAAAACAAAAACAAAAACAAAAAAAACACTTGTTTCAGTTGTCTCTCTGATTAAAGAAAGCCCCTGTGGCTTGGAGGCATTGTGCCCATGGTCCACCAGGGTCTGTGATTTCTTGTCTTACACTGTCCCACTCACACCCAAGGGGAGATAGACTCCCACCTTGATCCAACACAGCCTGCCCTCACCGTGGCTGTACCCCCTGGTGAACAGTGATGTTTTATGAACGCCCATTTTAGACCAGCACATGCTGAGAAAGGAATGCCAGCTGTACCCTCATCTGGCAAGCTGTGCTGAAACTGCTGATGGTTTACCCCCCTGTGGGGCCCAGACGACTTCAGGGGCAGGTGTGGGGCTGGTGTAGAAAGATGAAATTTTATTTCAGTAGGTGGTAACAGACTGAACCCTGTACTCTGGTATTTGCTACAGTAAAGGAAGATGGTAGAGGTAAGCCTGCATCTTACAGAGGGGCAGAAAGATCTGCAGGGGAGTAGTCTAGTCCAGTGCCATTTTAAAAGAAAAGCTTTCCATCTTTGATATTAATGTTTTATTGGAAAAGGTACATGAAAACCATCTACATACACAACCCCAGGTGAACATAACATGCAAGCCACCACACACTTTCTTTTGTCTTAGAAAAGCTTGACTTTTTTGGAGTAATGTCTTGCCCATTCCAGCAACAGTGTCCCAGCTAACTTGGCTCCTTTTCCTCCAGGCTCAAAATAAAATAAAACTCCTCTACCAAAGAAGGGAAAAAAAAAAAAAGAAAGGCATTAGGTGTGTCTCCTCTTGAATAGAAAAGTCGTGCCAGGCACTTCACATTGTTACTGAGGCAGGTAGTCATTCATTCAAAAACTACTTATGGAGGGTTTTACTGTGTGCCAAGCACTGCTGGGTAATAGGTACGTAGTAATGGGTAACTCCAGACATAGTTCCTCCCTGGGTGTTATAGATGAGGAGACAGGCTCAGAAAAGTTTAATACTGTGCCCAAGTTAAATCACTAGTAAATGTGAGTTCATGGAGTGCTCCTGGTGTGTGGATAATATAAAGCAAAGGGTCCACTCTTACCTGGGGTCAGGGGTTGAACTGAGAGTCTCTGGCGAGTGAAAAGAGCCATATCTTTTAAGGGGCCTCCAGTGGTTTTGTGAGCTTGGTGATGGGTTTTGAGCTCAGCCAGGGTAATGTAACGCTTCATCATCCGAACAAACTGTACATCCACCTATATGACAGAAAGGAATGTTCAGGCAGTTTCTGTCTACTGTGTTATTTGCTTCTTGTGGGAGGTTCTTAGGGGCAGAGCTGCCAGTATTCTGTTCTTATCTCCAAAAGAGGTTTTGGGTGTAAAAGCTGGACTGTGTACCTTGACCTAAAGACAGCACACACCTTCTTCCTCCCTCTCTTTGTCCATCCTTTTCCTCTCATGAAATAGGAAAAATAAGTACTCTTACCATGGACCATTTAGGGTTGTCTTCTTTGCTGGATGGGTCATAATAGGGACTGTTTTTCTCAAACTGTGTGTGGTCTGGGTAAGCCTCCTTCACAATCTGAAACCAAAACCAAATCTCTAATCATTTGCCCATATAGTCAACTCCATGGCCAATTTTTAACTCAAGTCCAACTTTCTCTTCTGACCCTGTACATACTCAGCTCTTCTGCCTTGCTCTAGAGCCACTATATCTGGAAATAATAACACAGTCTAGAGCAAGCATACCTGTTTTGACAAAATCTGACAACATCAAACCTGTTTTGACAAAAATCTTGAAAGTAGGTTTTAAAACCACGTATTAAAGGTTATTATTGGTACCACTGTTTTTTCACCTGTAGTTAATAATCTTATCCTAATAACTTCTGGTTTGAAAGAGCCATCATCCGGCCTGTTTTTGAGTGAAAGACTGAGGCAGAGAATGAAGAGAAGTCAGTACCAGTGGGACTGAACTGAGGCCTCTCTTGTTATAGTCCTTGCTGTACTGGAAAAGGCCAAGGTGGTTTTTCCATATTCTTGTGACATCAGGGATGAGAAGGAGAGTATTTCTTTTTTGTTACTGATCTAAGCTGTGTTCCTTTCTATCTATATGAGTAAGTCTCCTTGAAGGGAGAGGGATTAACGCTTATTGTACAACCAACCTTCACAAGTCCTGCGATGCCTGGCTCTTTGCAGTTGCTATGGTAGAAGAAGGCTTCTTGCTCCAGCTTCATGGCTCGAAGGAAGTTCCGGGCCTATCCCAGGAGAGAATAAACAACAACTATCCTCCTCACCCAGTGGAAAACACTAATTAGAGGAATCAAGTCTGCTTTATTGGATGAGTTTTTCTTTCTTGCAGTTTCTTCCCAATTCAATTCAATACCTTCCTTTGCTGAGACACCCAGACTGGTATGCAGACACTGGCCAGAACACAGGCCATTTGTAAACTGTATGCAGAGGAATTAAGATAGTGTTGAATATACAGTTTGGGATCTTGGAAAAAACAATGCTGGCCAAGAGATTTTGCTACTGAATAAGTCCTAGAAAGGAGACAGGCATTTCTTTGACCCTGGGGACTCTTACCCTCTTACCTGGTAGTTGCGAACACCATCCCAGCATGCTGTCTGCTTGGGCTCTGCTTTAAGATCCTCAATGCTGAACTAGGCAATAGGAAATGAATTCATTCATTAAACAGTCTTGGGGCCAGTTGGTAGCATATGGAAGTAGAAAGGTTTTTCCCCTACGTTGAGGGTACTACTTGCTGTAGTGGAAGTCTGTAGTTTACTGGGAAGTAGTTACACAACACCACTTCTATTGGGCAAAGGTAGAGTAAGCGTTGCGTTACCTTGTTATCCTTGCTAATTAAAAGGATTAGTTGAATAGATGATTTAAATGATAAAATAACCTATTGGTTATTCGTATTTCACTCATTAAACTATTATATATTTCTATTTTCTCCAGGCTGTTACTAAAGCTGATTTATATTAATTCAATGAATATATACTAATTGTTGGCAGAGAGATACATAGGAGTATGTTAAGTGTCAAGAGTAATGCAACCTAAGATTGAAACGTTGCCCAGATCAGGGGTTGGCAAACTAAAGCTTTGTGCCCAGGCCTGACTTTGTAAATAGTTTTATTCGAGCACAGCCACATCATCCGATTACCTTTTGCCCATAGCCACTTTCTTGCAACAACAGCAGAGCTGAAACAGCAACCATAAGACCCGAAAACCCAAAATATTTATTATCTGGCCTCCTACAGAAAAAAGTCTGCCACCCCTTGCCCTAGATAAAGGATTCACAAAAGAGATAGTTGATGGTAGTAAGTCCTGCTGATTTTATTCTTTATAATCTATTCCCTAACCCTACCCTTTTAAGAAGTTGGTGATGGAACCCTGTGGTGTCCCATATTCACTTCTCACCTAAAAAAATAGTTTGAAGGGATTAGAGAGGTACCTAGTCTCACCTTCACATCGACACCTTTCTCTAGTCGGCTTTCTGGCTCGGACTTCATCAGCCAGTAACTGCTTAGATTCTTCCCACAGTTTTTAGAGGCTGAAGTCTTCTCAGGGCTGGAGTTACCCATTGCAGCTAATGCCCCTGCTGGGTTCTTAGTCTTGGTACGTTTTCCTGCTGGCCCCTTATTGTCTGCAGTAGAAGCAAAAAGAAGAAACTGGTGAGAAGTAATGCTCTGTGTGGGGAAAGCACATACTTTGGAGTCAGACCTGGATCCAAATCCTGCCTCTGTCAGTTACTGGCAGTGGCAACTGAATTGCTGAACTTCAGTTTATCTATAAAAATGGGGCAGGAATGCCCATCTTACAGGGTATCTCCTGGATTATCCATTCAGTGGGATAAAAATAGTGTACACAGTTTTGGGTTAGGACTGACAGAGTCCCTGGTTTCTACTAAGTAGAAAGTGCCTCTGCTGAGGCTCTCTCTCCAATAAGGAAACCGAGCACCTACTCCACAGACTTATTTTGAAGATTAAACAAGGTAGTGCAAACAATGGGATTAAATAATGGTTGACATTATAATAAATGCTCAGTAAAGATTATTATCACCAACTCGTGGTTCTTTTTTGCTTGCTCACTATGCTTGTGGCCTGCCTCCTGCTCCCTGAGGGTGCCAAGAGATGTTGGATAAGACAGCTCATTCTGGACTTCGAAGACGTGGCAAAGATGATTTTTTCCAAAGAGAATTAGAGCAAGAGTGCCTGGAACGTAGTAGGCACTCAATAGCTAAGTTGTTCAATTCTTACTATATAAACTCTATTTATTACCCTAACAATAACTCAGTTAATCTACATAATGTATGAGATGTTCTGTTCATCTGCTAAATGTGTCCAGATTACACATTTCAGTAAACTGTATAATCAGGAACTGTCCCCTGGTCTATCTGAATCCACACTTCATGACCATATCATACTACCTCTGAATTAAGCCCCAGGTCTTGCATCAGCTCTCATTAAGTATCATTCATAGACGTCTAGTAGTTTGATCCTCCCTAGCCTAGTTTTTAGGTGGTCCCTTTGGAGTTAAGCACACTGCAAACACCATTATGTGTTGTTAATAATGCAATGTACTATAGTCAGTCCTAAAGCACTTTCTCTACCGTCAGTTTTGTTCCTGTTCATCTTCCATTCATCCTCATGAATATAAAAATGGCATCACACTTTCTTTGCCTTTGGAAAGCTTTCCCATTTTTTTAAGGATGGACTCAAGTTCCACTTCCTTCTCAAGGTGTTCCTCCCTGCTCCGGTACCCTTAGCCATGGTTTCCTAAGACCCTTTTCACTTATGTTTGCATTTTCCATGAAAGCACAACTGTATGTTCTTTGCCTTTGTACAAGCTACCCTGTATCTACACCAAACAACTACTGCTTAATGAACAGAAGCAGCTCTGGGTATAAGCTTGGTGGGAAGAGGAAAGGAGAAGATGGAGGGCCGTTAAGGATAAAACAATCCACAAAGGATTCTCCCCACAGGCAGGGATTTGAAAGTGAACAGTATTTTTTTTTTTTTTTAAGATTTATTTATTTATTTGAGAGAAAAGAAGAGTGCGTGAGAGCTTGGGTATGAGCAGAGGGAGAGGGAGGAGAGAAGCACCCTCCCCGCTGAGCACGGGGCCAAGTGGGGCTCCATCCCACCCTAAGCTCATGACCTGAGCCGAAAACAGGAGTCCCACGCTCAACCGACTGAGCCACCCAGGTGTCCTAAAAGTGAACAGTATTATACAGATCCTAAAGAAACTTTCTTTACAGGGCTACCTTTTTGCAGCCTAGGGGCAGCTCACCTGGCCCCGCAGCCCCGCTGAGCCTCTTCCGGGGTTTCGGCATGGTTTCCCTGCGGGGGTCGAAGAGCAGAGGATTCGAAATCAACCGAGAGAAACAAGACGAAGCTCTGTTATCTGCCCCCAGAAACCTGCGCAAAGCAAGATGGAGACAACGAGAGAAATCTTGAGTCTCAGCCCCGAGAGATTTTTGCAGAGCACCGATGCAACTGGCCTTGGGCCCCTCAAATCCTTCCCAATTATCTACGACCCCACTTCCATCTTGCAAAACCTGCCGCTAGTCTCATCGGTTCTCTCCCTGATCGTTCTCTCACTCATTCACCATTCTTCCCCGCCACTGATCCCACAACTCCGCAGACAGAACCCCAACCAGGCTCCAGAAGGCCGGCACTGAGTCCCCAGCCAACACCCGGGCTAAGTGCCAGAAGGCACTTTTGCGCCGCGGCCCTGAGTATCTCTGGGAGTTGTAGTCCTGCTCTGGCATAGACCCGGCTGAGTCTGGGCCGTGAGGGCGCTGGGTGCACTACAGCGCCCAGGGTACACTGCGGGTCCCGGTCTGTGCCCCGCCCCAGGTCACTGCGTGCAGGTTCTGGCTGGAGAAGGAGCTGCTAATATGTTACGGAGCGGCTGCGGGCGGCTGAGACGGTGCCTGCACGGCGCTCTGCGGGCCCCCGCCAAGAGCGGTCGCCGGAGCTTGGTCTCCTGCATAGATCGTAAGACTTACCCCGCTGGTGCAGGTGTCCGGTCCCTGGGCGGGGAGGGGGTGCCGTGGTCTGAGCGCCCACAGAGCGCTTGTCACCCCCGGCTCGCTCTGGCGGTCACCTGGGCCACCACCCCCAACCCCACCTGCCCGTTCCCGAATGAGCTTCCCCCGCCGGCTGGTGTCCCCATTCTGTCCACCTGACTGGCTTCTCTGACCGCCCTCACTCTCTGTGGTCTCCATCTGTGGCGCCCCTGGGCCTCGTCTGCTACTCTTTCATCCACCCCCAAACTTGTGGGTGGGAAGTCTGGCGTGGGAAACATTTAATAAATGTCGATTTTCTTTATAACAGATATGGTATGAATCCCTTTGATTGACACCCAGATCTATGACATACACTAGATAGAATACCGTTTTCCTCTCCCTGTCCTAAAACTCCTTCACAAGGTGCTGCCCGTTCTAGCAATTGGAATTAGGTAAACAAGGTCACCCTTGCTGATAACAATGCAAATAAGGAGTTGTTCTGGTAACAAATATATTAAATATTTAATAGGTTAATATTAAATACTAAATAACAAATAGGTTACATAGGCTACAGTATATCTAGCAGCTGCTTGTGTAGGTTGAGCCAATGAGGTACTTTTACACCTTTTTAAAATAAAGTACCTCTTCATTCGTAAAATGAAAGGAAACTACCCTTTCAATGTATCATTCTACATACTAGAATATAAAATTAATGGAGTGATTGACAAACATTTGTTTCATTGCATATTTTAATAAGTGAAAAATGATTTTTAAGGGAATTCTGATTTGTATTTTACTTATTATATGGTATACATATTCATTATGTATACTTCCCTCATCCTACAGATGAGGAAATTTACTCAGTGTCTAATGCAGCTGCCTCATTTTACAATGGGATAACTGAAGCGGATTGAGGTACTTGACTTACTGAAAGTTGTACATTTAATACATTTAATAACTTCGGAACCAGAGCTCAAACACCTGATTGCTTGTCTAGTGTTCTTCCACTACACTTTGCTGCAATGTCACAAGCATTCTTTGAACACCAAGATTCTCAAATAGAACTGTTGATTCTCTTGTTAGGTTTCTACTTTGGATGCATTTAAGATTCTTATGTTTAGTTATTTGTTTTTGCCTGTTGCTTACACTTAGGTTGTTACACAGTCAAGGGTTTCCTCATCTCATTTGGGCCCACTTCCTTTCCTTTTTTTTTTTTTCCTCCCTGAGATAGTGAGTGTGTGTGTGCATGTACAGGCATGTGGCAGTGGGAGAGGGACAGCGGAGAAGGGCAAAAAAATTTTTAACTTAAATTCAATTAATTAACAAATAATGTATTATTAGTTTCATAGGTAGAGGTCAGTCTTACATAACACCCAGTGCTCATTACATCACATGCCTCCTTAATCCATCACCCAGTTACCCCATTCCCCCATGTCCCTCCCCTGGAGCAACCCTCAGTTTATTTCCTATGATTAAGAGTTTCTTATAGTTTGTCTCCCTCTCTGATTTCCTCTGGTTTTATTTTTTTCCTATCTTCCCTATGATCCTTTGTTTCTTAAATTCCACATATCAGAGGATATGATAATTGTCTTTCTCTGATTGACTTATTTCACTTTGCATAATACCCTTTAGTTCCACCCACATTGTTGCAAGTAGCAAGATTTTGTGTGTGTGTGTAGCTGAGTAGTGTTGCATTGTATATGTGTATACACCACATCTATCTGTGGATGGACATCTGGGCTCTCTCCGTAGTTTAGCTATTGCGGACATTGCTGCTATAAACATTGGGGTACAGGTTCCCTTTTAGATCACTACATTTGTATCTTTGGGGTAAATATCCAGTAGTGGAATTGCTGGGTCATAGGGTAGCTCTATTTTCAACTTTTTGAGGAACCTCTGTACTGTTTACAGAGTGGCTGCACCAGCTTGCATTCCAGGCAACAGTGTAAGAGGATTCCCCTTTATCTGCATCTGGGAAAGAGAAAATCTTAAGCAAACTCCGCTCCAAGGGCAGAGCTCAACCCAGGCTGGATCTCATGACCCTGAGACCATGACCTGAACGGAAATCAAGAGTCACATGCTTAATGGACTGAGCCACTCAGGAGCTCCAGGCCCTTTTTCTATTTAGCTTTGCCATTTTACATTTTACTATGTGTTGGCTTCTTGAACTCTGCTAGTAACTGTCCAACTTCCTTAAGTCTGGTTTTTGTTTTGTTCATTTTTAATGTATTCTGGGAACTCAGGTGTTTTTATTTAGTTACCATGCTTTCTTACGTAAAATTTGCTTTTTAACTTGCCTTTTCCACTTTTTTCTGCCAAGTAGTGCTCTCATTTTATTGGCATTCCTTTATCGAAAAGTGGGTTGGATATTGTATTTCAAAATGTGTGATTACGTTGTATATTCTTGCACATAAGATTTTCATACAGTTGTTCCCTGATGTTTATTTAGGATACAATTCAAACCTATTTCTTAAAACATTTTGTTTCTTGACCTACTTGTTTTACTCTAATAAAAATAATAGTAAAGGTTTATTGAGCTCTTTGCTGGGACTGAAATTCTGTAGCACTTCTCTTTATACTATAAGATTTACATTGTCACCATTTATGTTATCCTTTGTGTGAATGGACTGTATTCATTTTTGTAGCCCCAGTACTGTTCCATAGTAGACATTCAATAAATATTCTTTTGTGAATGGTCTTTAAGCTATGATCTACAAGAGCATTTCTGCAAGACTTCTGCAAACAAATGAATGACCTCTTAGTCAGGAACCGTGAATTGTTTATTCCTAACCATATTCCTGTGAGTAACAACCAATGTAAATTTCTGTTCTATCCAGGCTTCTCAAAGTAGCCTAATCTCTAATCCTTGTAAGTATTCCTTTCTGAGATTCTCCAATACAGACCGACTGCTTTCTCCTGGCTCACATAGCCAGCCATTACTGCTGCCTGTGCCTGCCCTAAAGAAACGGACTCTGCAGCCTGCTCTTCTTCTCTAATGGAAGGACTATGCGTCACTATTAGGCACTGAAATAAATTCTTATTAAGTGTGGCTCCATAGTCTTGCTTTAATGCTCTTTAGCATCACCCCATAATGACCACATCTTTAGCACTAAAGGATGAAACCTGAGTAGGTAATACAGAGCCTTGCACTTCTTCTTTCCGCCCTATATTGTACCTCAGGGCTTCACTTGGAAAAGTATAGGCGTACACTCTATTTTTTCTTACACACCTGCAGCAGGTTGTCCTTTCAAAGTGACTGTAGTAAGAGACAACAAAAGAGACATAAATATGAACAATGTAAGTCTGAGTCACTCTGTGTAGTTTGTTGATCCTGATGCAGATTCCCAGGATTTGTGGTCCCATCTTTTCTGAATTTGCTACACTATTGCCAAAAGGTTGTTTTCACGGGAGATTGCCTAGGCTGTTTACTTTCAGCTCTGGCCTGCTGCTGGCTGGAAGTCTGCATCACTGCAGAATAAGAAAAATATTTTATACCTTACTTAATTAGCTAGTTGACTTGGATGTCTGCTTTCTAATTCAGTGTGATCTTACTCTCTGCAGTTTTTTAAAAATTCTGTAAAAAATGGTGTTCATGTCATTTGGGGAACTGGCTATTTAAAGAAAATGTATGGGGACGCCTGGGTGGCTCAGTTGGTTGGATGACTGCCTTCAGCTCAGGTCATGATCCTGGGGTCCCGGGATCGAGTCCCGCATCGGGCTCCCAGCTCCATGGGGAGTCTGCTTCTTTCTCTGACCTTCTCCTTGCTCATGCTCTCTCTCACTGTCTCTCTCTCAAATAAATAAAATAAATTAAATAAATTAAAAATTAAAAAAAATTAAATTAAAAATTAAATTAAAAATTAAAAATTAAAAAAAAATTAAAAAAATTAAAAATTAAAAAAAAAAACTGCTTTAAAGAAAATGTATGAAGTAATGATACTGTGAATTGGTAGTCATTCTGTTTATGTTGGTAGATAATAGTTCTCTTTCTCCTAAAGAATATCACCTCTGATAAAGGAGTACTTTGGTGTAGTCTTTTATTAGGTGTTTAAAGTTCTAGAGAAACTTCTCCTAATGAGGCCACACTGTGTATCTGTTGATGTCAGTCAATTCTTTGTCCTTAGCTTTTAAGTATCTTAAACCCAAAAGTGAAGGAATTGCCCAAAGTCACATCACTGATAGTTTATGATAGAAAATGTTCTGAGAATGCTGAATCCATTGGCTAAAAACAGATATAGTAGGGCCTTAACCATGTTTTCAAAACTAGAAGACTTTTTTTTTCATCATCAATGTTATCAGTGAATGTCTGGGATTTGCCAAATGCATAGCCTTATTAGAAGATCTTTCCCTTACTTTGAAGGTAAACCAAAGTACACATATCTTCCTTTTCCTATTGACCTTTTTTTTTTTTTAATTTGTTTATTTGAGAGAGAGAGAGAACAGAAATAGGGAGAAAGAGCATAAGCCAGGAGGAGAGGGAGAGACAGGCTCCCACTGAGCAGGGAGCCCGACGTGGGGCTGGATCCCAGGACCCTGGGAACATGACCTGAGCCAAAGGCAGATGCTTAACCAATGGAGCCACCCAGGTGCCCCCTATTGATCTTTTAAAATGAATATGTTGGGGCGCCTGGGTGGCTCAGTGGGTTAAAGCCTCTGCCTTCGGCTCAGGTCATGATCTCAGAGTCCTGGG